TTTTTTTTTTTTACCTTTTCCTTTTTAAAAAAAAATCTTTTTGCTCTTCTCTGATCCCTTCGTAAATAATTTATTTGTTAAATTATTTTAAAATAAAAGAATTTATTTAAATAAATATTAAATGAATTTGACCAAAATAAAATAAATATAATAAAAAAAAATTTCTTTTTTTTTTTACTTTTTATATAAACAGTCCACTTTAAGAGTATGTCCACCCTACACTATAAACAAAAAAAAATTGTAAATGGAAGTAGTTATATCTTTAGGTGTTTTCTTCCAGAACTTTAAACATATCTGTTGTAGACTTTTTAATTTGATTTTGATAACACATCTCTCCAACAATTGTTTTCAAGTATAATCTTAAATTAGAACTACAATCCGAGAAATATGCTGTTAATGTTTGTATAAATATTATCATTTATTTATATTATGAGATGTACCAATTTACTTATGCATACAATTCATTCAGCCACTCACAATTTAGAAGAAAAAAATTGAAGTGTTTATTATTATTTTTTATTAAGATGAAAAACGAAACAATAAAGACAAAAATTAAAAAAAAGAAGTTAAATCATGTCCAAAACACTAATAAACATAGCACTAAAAAGTCGAGACATGTGTCTCTAATAAGTATAGCCTCAATTTGAAATTTACCATATTTACAATCTTGCTGGAAAGAATTAGTCTCAATATTAAACCATGAATGTGCTATGTTTATTTGTGTTTCGGAATCTTATTCAAGATTAAACCATGAATGTGCTATGTAAAATTTCTGCGATGGAAAGAATAACATTTTTAAAATTTAGTTCTCATTTTAAGAAAGAAAAAAAAAAACATCTTAAAAATTTGAAGGTCTTATATAAAAATCTAATTTAATTATAGTTTATCTATATTAAAAAATAATTTTTGTTATTATTATTTAACAATAATACTACCTCCTCTGATCTTATTTATAAAAAAAATATTTTTTAAATATATTAAATAACTAATATATCTAAATAATAAATAAATTAAATATATTATTTATTTAATAAATTTTTCTTATATTAAAAATCTGAAGTAGTAAATATATAAAAAACTTATTTTAATATATGCTAATCACTTAAGCCTGAAATAATTGACGGTATCTAATAATAATAGATGTATTTTCACATTATCATCTAAATCTTATGGTCAGTCTCATGAACATGATATGATAAATTAGAGATCTCCCCACTATCATGTTGTGTGTCCATAGAATAACAAATAATTAATAAAAATATAACAATAATAATTTTAGCATATCCTTTCCTTTGTGTGCACCAAAGAATAAATTAAGTGAAATAAAATACCCATATCTCTATCCTCCACATCAACTCCTTATCCTCAACATCAATCCATTAGAGTTTAAAAATTGTTCATCATGTCAATTTCTAATAAAAATCACCAAATCCCATTCTTATTGAATAAAATAATAAAATACTATTAATAAAAATTCCTTTGAAAAAGAGAATTATTTTAATCATAAATCATAATCAAAAGACTAAAATAATCGAAAACATAAAACTAAGTTGTGCAGGGTCACTAAATTATTTAACAAAAAATAAACACAAAATAAATATAAATTTTTTATTATGCAAATAGACTTAAAAATATATATATATATATATATATATATATATATATATATATATATATATATATATATATATATATATATATATATATATATATATATATATATATATATATATATATATATATATATATATATATATATATATATATATATATATATATATATATATATATATATATATATATATATATATATATATATATATATATATATATATATATATATATATATATATATTTTAAATTGAGCTTTAACAATTAATTAAAGAATATTTCTTTGCTAAAATCTATTGTTACACTAAGTATAATGGGGTTTGAAAATAAAACCGAGGTTTAGGAAAGGCATTGAGGAATGCAAAAGAGAAATGGAGGAGTTGCGAGAAAAAACGGGGCGAGGCGCTAAAGCGGCTAGGAATCGAATGAGTAATCTCCTGGTGTAGAAAGACGCGTTTTGGAAACTGAGAGTAAATGTTAACTCGTTGCAGGATGACTATACGAACTCAAAATTCTTTCACGCAATGGTTAGCTCACATTGTAAGCAAAAGCAAATCACAAAGCTTCAAGCACACACAAGAGAGGTTATTGAAGAGCATAATGATATATGTGTGGTATAGCAAGAGACTATTTTGACGAACTTCTTTCGGGAAACGCATGAAACTAATGTCACATTATCGAACTGGTAAAACCATGCATAAACTAGAAAGATAACAGGCTTTTGATGTCACCATTCAAAATGGAGAAATTTCAACATGCACTCTTCCAAATGCATCTTGATAAGGCTCTGGGGCCGGATGGTATGAATCCAACTTTTTACAAAAGGTTCTGGCATATTTGTGGTTCTGGCATCCTCTATCCCCATACTTATTCATAATTTGTGCAGAGGGCCTATCCGTCTTCTTGAAGAACCGATAATCTAGGGGAGACATCCACAGAGTCAAAGTGCGTAGAAGAGTGTCGATCCTAACACGCTTGTTATTTGCTGACGATTGTTTTATGTTTTTTAGGGCCAACGAGAAGGAGGAAGAGGCTTTAGCAAACACCCTCAAAAAATACGAGGAGGCTTCGGGTCAGGCTATAAATCTACAAAAATCAATTTTTTTTCCAACACAAACATGAATCAAGCCGTGAAGAAATTGGTGAAAGATATCTTAAAAGTTACAGTAAATATTGGACAAGGAAAATACCAAGGCATGCCTTCGCTGATTGGAAGGAGAAAGAAAATAATTTTTAATCACATTCACGATCGCATATGGAAAATAATTCAAAGTTGGAAAGGAAAGTGTATGTCAAAAGCCGACAAAGAGGTTCTCATAAAATTTGTCGCATAGTCAATTCTTACATACTGCATGAGCTCCTTTTTACTACTGACGACTCTATGTGACGAAATTGAAAAAATGATGAATTTTTTCTGGTGGAGGTCAAACTGGCAGAAAGGAAAAAGTACAAACTGTTTAAGGTGGGAGAAAAAGGCAAATTGAAAGGAACACAGTGGGATAGGGTTCATATACATGCAAGACTTCAACTGGGCTATGCCAGGGAAGCAAGGTCGACGCTTAGAAACCAACCAACACACTATCATTGCTTGAGTCTTCAAAGCTAGATATTTCCCAAAGGGTTGTTTTGTGAACGTAAATATGGGTCATAACCCGAGTTTTGTTTGGCCTAGTATCAACACTTCACATGTAGTGGTTAGAGGAGATCTAAGATGGAGAGTAAGAGATGAAACTATGATAAAGGTTTGGTCCGATTCTTGGCTTCTCGATGGTGAACACAATACAATAAAGAGTCTAGTGGTTACGAGGATGAAAAATATGCGAGTAAGTCATCTCATAGATCCAATTAGTCATGCATAGAAATCCAACATAATTAACAATTTGTTCAATCAAATGGACGTGAAATAAATATTAACTTTACCTCTCATTGATGAAGTGGGAAGAGACGAACGATTTTGGAATTTCATACCTCACATAGATTATACGGTGAGCTTATCTTATTCGTACATCATGTAGGACTTAACGAACAACAACAACCTGTATGCTATCGAGAACTAGAATCAACTTTGGAACATCAAAATACCCCAAAAGATAAAATTGTTTTTATAGAGGGTTGCTCGCGGATGTCTGCCAACTCGATATCGACTACAAAGTCGAGAGGTGCAATGTGGTAATCCTGCATGTTATGCAAGAGATCTTACGGGAATAATTGACATGTATCCTGAGGTGTGACAAATTGAAAGCGATATGGAAAGCAACATATGTGTGGAATATTATTAACAAAAGTCTTGAAGTGCTATACATACTTGTGGCATTGTTTTTCTAGCTCATTGAACAACAAACAACCAACCAACAACTCTCTTTTGTTATGACATTATGAGGTATATGGAAAACAAGGAACGAGAAGCTCTAGAACGATATTGAGGTGAACGCTCGCATACTAGTGCATACGGCATGGGAAACGTTGCTGCAATGGTAGCCGCCTGCAGTAATCAAAGTGTACAACAGGAAATTGAATCTGATGCCCACAAGCAAAACATACGCTGGAGTCCAGAAACAGGGGAGGTAAAGGACAATATAGACATGATCATCTTTAAGTAACAAGGCTCTTATGGAATGAGAATGTGCCCCAAAAGACAACACGACGAACACATCAAATCTAAGACAATTTAGTATTATGGTATCATGGTATACTCTAAAAAAAATTCTCCCTTTACAATATTAATGTAACATTTATTATTATTTTTTCATTATTATACTCTTATTTATTATTTCACTTTATTCAAATACTTTAATTGCTACAATTAATAAGAGAATTCTAGTAACTAATATATCCTCTATCCCAAAATAAATGTCTCTTTAATCTAAAATATAACTAATAATCATTAATGATAGTTTTATAAATATATTATATTTATTCTTTCACTAATTATTTTTTTTAATCTGTGTGCCATAATCTTAAAAAACTTTTATTTTAAAACAGAAAAAATAAATTTTATTAATAAAATCAACACATTTAATTATTTTCTTTTAACATTCATACATTGCTTAATTTTGACAAATTTTATTACATATAAAGTTTCCTAACCAAATCAAAAGAATCCTGGTTGATGACAAGCGTCAAGCGATGCTCCCATCAAAGAAATAAATTTTGTATTAAACAAAAAATAATAATAAAATAAAAATACATTTAACCGCTTAAAGGCCATACGCTCCTTCAAACACAATTCTCCGTCACTCCATAGTCCATTTCCAGACTTCGAAGGAATATTCTCTCTTATTATTTTTTCATTTATTTTTCCAATTAAATTCTCTTCACTCATCTTCTCCATCTTTATAAACGCAATCATCTTGAACCAGTAGTTGCAGTTAAAGAGTGAAAAATAAAAAATGGCAGGAAATGATTGGTTGAATAGTTATCTAGAAGCGATTCTGGACGTTGGTCCTGGTCTTGATGATGCTAAATCTTCTCTTCTTCTTAGAGAAAGAGGTAGGTTTAGTCCTACTCGGTACTTCGTTGAAGAAGTTATCGGCTTCGATGAGACTGATCTCTATCGCTCTTGGGTTCGGGTATGTAGTACTCTCACTCTCTCTATAACTTCGTTCATCAATTCAACACTGATTTTGTTTATTTGATTTGTTGTTGTTGTTGTTGTTGTTGTTGTTGTTGTTAGGCTTCTTCATCAAGGAGTCCGCAAGAGAGGAATACTCGATTGGAAAATATGTGTTGGAGGATTTGGAATCTTGCTCGTCAGAAGAAGCAGGTTTGATTTCCGTTTTTGTTTTTGTTTTTTGAATTTTAGTTGTTGATGATGTTGATGATGTTGTTGATGATGGTGATGATGATGATGATTATGATTGTGATTGTGATGATGTGTTGTGGTTTGATTGGATTTGTGTAGCTTGAGAGTGAAGCGGTGCAGAGAGTGAACAAGCGGAGACTTGAGCGTGAAAGAGGGAGGAGAGAAGCTACTGCTGATATGTCGGAGGATTTGTCTGAAGGAGAGAGAGGAGATCCGGTGAGTGATGTTTCTACTCATGGTGGTGGTGATTCTGTTAAATCTAGATTGCCTAGAATTAGTTCTGCTGATGCTATGGAGACTTGGGTGAATAGTCAGAAAGGGAAGAAGCTCTACATTGTTCTCATTAGGTATTGTAGCTTATTTAACTTTGGTATGTCTAATTTTATATCGTTGTTGTTTTTGCATTACTTGACTGTTTTGTTCGGTTTTGGATGTATTTGAATGCAAAAAGTGGATCAAGCTATATTGCTGATGATTGATGATATTGTAATTTTGTTTTTATTATGTGGAGTTCTGTTTCTTATCTCTAGTGTGTGGTTTTGTTTTGTTATTCTTGAATTCAACTACGTGTTTATGTGCAGTATTCATGGCCTCATACGTGGTGAGAATATGGAGCTGGGGCGTGATTCTGATACCGGTGGTCAGGTATTACTTCTGTAACTGTTATTTTTTGTTGTTTTTTTCTTTTCGTGTTAAGAATCTGTTAGCTTTTACAACTTTTTCGTTTATGATTGTGTGATGCTGACACTTTGATGACATCTATCTGATTGTGTGGGGTAACTGAATCTTTCTTCCTGTCTTTGTTTCTGTGCTGAGTAGGTTAAGTATGTTGTGGAGCTTGCACGGGCCTTGGGATCAATGCCGGGAGTTTATCGGGTTGATTTGCTGACTAGGCAAGTCTCCTCGCCAGATGTAGATTGGAGTTATGGGGAACCAACGGAAATGTTGGCTCCTAGAAACACGGATGAATTTGGAGATGACATGGGAGAGAGCAGTGGTGCTTATATCATTCGTATTCCATTTGGTCCGAGAAATAAATATATTCCAAAAGAAGAACTCTGGCCTTACATTCCTGAATTTGTGGATGGAGCGATGGGCCACATTATACAGATGTCCAAGGCTCTTGGGGAGCAAATTGGCAGTGGGCATGCTGTCTGGCCGGTTGCTATTCACGGGCATTATGCAGATGCAGGCGACTCTGCTGCTCTTCTGTCCGGTGCTTTGAATGTACCGATGATTTTTACCGGCCACTCACTTGGTCGAGATAAGTTGGAACAACTTTTAAAGCAAGGCCGATTATCAACTGATGAAATAAACTCAACTTACAAGATCATGCGTAGGATAGAAGCTGAGGAATTAGCCCTTGATGGTACTGAAATAGTCATAACAAGCACTAGACAGGAAATAGAAGAACAGTGGCGCTTATATAATGGTTTTGATCCAGTATTGGAACGTAAAATACGAGCAAGGATCAGGCGTAATGTGAGCTGTTATGGTAGATACATGCCTCGCATGTCGGTAAGTACAGGGTCACTATTGAACTTTCTAACAACGCCTTAACGACTTTTTGTTGTGGACCAAATTAATTAGTCTTTATTTTGAACTAAAAGTAATTTACAGCTGGCTAGAGGTAAAATATCATTTTGATATTGATATACATTAGCATTTTGCAATGAGAGATAGTAAGTTCATTTTTCTCTTTTGGTTACTGATTTTGAGTCTCTTTTTAACCTAACACTTGAAGCACAATGTCTTGCTGCTTAGTTTTTACTTGATAGGGTTATCCATGACCAGATAGTCTATTTTTCTCTTTTTAATTTTCATTTTATTTTAAATTTGGATCAGACCTGGAGTTTGTTTTCAAATATTGGCATGACTTTCTAGTTTGTTCAGGAACGGAGTAGCTTTATTTTGTTTTTGAAAAAAGAATTTTATCACAGATAATATTTTTCTTTTTTAATGATTGGGTTAGAAAGATCATTGACATACCTCAAGTTTGCATGGTATATATTGATAACACAGTTATTGTTGAGACCTGTTCCAGATGCTATATTGTTTTAGTAATACTAAGTTGCCAGTCATATAAATTTAGATCTTAGTATAATATCAACACATTTTGCAGGTAATTCCACCAGGTATGGAGTTCCATCATATTGCTCCACTAGATGGTGATATAGAAACTGAACCAGAAGGGATTTTGGATCACCCTGCCCCCCAAGATCCACCAATTTGGTCCGAGGTTTGGAATATGCTTTCTGCATTTTTAATGTTTCCTCGTTAATAACCAGTTCAATGCTTTTATTTTATAATTTATTCGATGTGACTTGACTAGTAAGTTCTGTTTCTAAATCCAATATAAAAAGGAATTAATGCCAATTTAAACTCTCTGATGATCAGATAATGCGCTTCTTTTCCAACCCACGCAAACCTGTGATACTCGCTCTTGCCAGGCCAGATCCTAAAAAGAACATCACAACTTTGGTGAAAGCGTTTGGAGAATGCCGTCCTCTTAGAGAGCTTGCTAACCTTGTATGATATTGTGAATGATCATTCTGCACTTCTTTAGTATTTCTGTTCTTGTTTTCAGGTTAGCTGACTTGCATTTCCTGACTGATCAATTAAATGTTACTCTTTTGGCTTTTCAGACATTAATTATGGGTAACCGAGACGGAATTGATGAAATGTCAAGCACAAGTTCTTCTGTTCTTCTCTCAGTACTTAAGCTGATTGACAAGTATGATCTGTACGGGCAAGTGGCATATCCTAAACACCACAAACAATCTGATGTTCCTGACATCTATCGTCTAGCAGCAAAGACAAAGGTAACTTTGTCAATTTGATTGGACTAGAAAATTGATATTACTGTCTAATTTCTGAAGCACAGTTGTCAAATTGTAAAATTTATTTAGAATTTTTGGTTCAATTTTTGAATGACGAGTTGTGAAGTGATAATCCCGTAATCAAATATGTGGATAGGAGAAGGACCCAAAAGGAGGAAAATGGGCCTGAAGCTGAATGAGAGGAGGAACAATAGTGTGACATAGGAGGATGGAAAAGAGGGGGAGGCACACTGGAGGGAATAAGGAATGGGGAGGGAAAATAACAGAAAGAGGACAGGTGGTAGTAGGGGGAGGATTCGGGAATCAGAGTAATGCATTAAAGGGGGGTACTGAGGGAGGGAAGAATCACTATTGGTTGTAGAGGGAAGTCATCTAATGTACTCTCTCTGTCCCATATTATAAGAGAAATTTACTTTTTAGATTCATTGAATAATTAATGTATTTGGTCTATATATAGACCAGATACATTAATTTTTCAATGAATCTAAAAAGTGAATTTCTCTTATAATATGGGACGGAGGGAGTAGCTAATATTCATCTTGATTTCTTGAACAAATAAAATTTTTTATTGTGATATTTTGTTTGTCATTTGGGCAATTTAATTCTATCATGCTACATTACAAAAAAAAAAAAAATCGACGTACTCGTCCCTCAGTTTTTTTAAAAATGTCGTACCCTTATCTGGTAACAATATTGTATATGTACATATGCATCCTAGGGCTAGATGGAACCTGTCCCCACCGTCTCTTCTATCCTCTTTATTTCATATTAGATAGTTACTGTGGCTTGTATGAATGCATGATCATGCATATATTCTCATGACATTATTCTCTTTTGTGAATACATCCTCTTATATTTATTTGCTTTGATACAACAATCTGGTGTGAATACTCTCCACTTGTGGGCAATGGCATATCCAGGACCCTAGGTTAATGACTTTAACTTATTTAAAAGATAATAATAATAATTATACAAGAAGTCTGATAAAACAATAACATTTTACAATTGTCCTTTATGCAATTATATATTTTTAACTTAAACTAGTCATCAACTCAATTATGGTGTCAAGTTAGTGGATTATTGGTTGAACCAATTAGTTACTAATTAAACCTCATAAAATATTTTATCTATTATAATTTACAAATTTTATTTTAAAATTTGTATATATTTTATACACTTGTATAGACACATGCGCGCTGTACAATTATCTAACTTGATGGACTACTCTAGTTTAATGGCAAAACATATACTCCACCCCCCTAAAACCAAAACCCCGCTTGATCCACTTATATCATTTTGGGGAGTATTTTCAATTTTAATTCCTATTCCAATACAAATCCTTCTGCTAAGATGCCACTAATGTGGGTCTGCCACTGCTGCTTGGGTTCAATCTATATTACTTTCTTCATGTCTTTAATTCTCCTACCCATGCAAGCTATGTTGTCATTTTACATTTCATTCAGATCTGATAACTGTGCAGGGTGTTTTCATTAATCCCGCTTTCATTGAGCCGTTTGGTCTTACCTTAATTGAGGTGATCTTCTGAATCTTGAATTAATTATTATTAAGTTGATTTATTTTTGGAGTTGTAAACACTAACTTGTGTATTTGTTGAACAGGCAGCTGCTTATGGTTTGCCAATGGTTGCTACTAAAAATGGAGGTCCTGTTGATATTCACCGGGTATGTTTATTGATTAGTGGTTATGTTATGTATTGTTCGTAAAGGTTCCCATGGAAACATGGATGATTAATTGATTATCGATATAGGTTCTCGACAATGGTCTGCTTATAGATCCCCATGATGAGAAGTCTATTGCAGATGCTCTTTTGAAGCTTGTCAGCAACAAGCAACTGTGGGCAAAATGTAGACAGAATGGGTTGAAGAATATTCATTTATTTTCATGGCCCGAGCATTGTAAGACTTACCTGTCTAAAATAGCCACTTGCAAGCCAAGGCATCCTCAATGGCAGCGAAGCGAGGATGGAGGTGAAAGTTCAGAGTCAGAAGAATCACCTGGTGATTCATTGAGAGATATACAAGACTTATCTCTTAACCTGAAATTTTCATTGGATGGAGAGAGGAGCGGTGATAGTGGAAATGACAATTCTTTGGATCCTGATGGAAATGCAACTGATAGAACTACAAAATTAGAGAATGCTGTTTTGTCATGGTCAAAGGGAATTTCCAAGGACACACGCAGGGGTGGGGCTACTGAAAAATCAGGCCAAAATTCAAATGCTAGTAAATTTCCGCCACTGAGGAGTAGAAATAGACTATTTGTGATTGCAGTGGATTGTGATACCACTTCAGGTCTTCTTGAAATGATTAAGCTAATCTTTGAGGCTGCTGGAGAGGAGAGGGCGGAAGGCTCTGTAGGGTTCATATTGTCAACCTCATTGACTATATCTGAGATACAGTCATTTCTGATCTCAGGTGGCTTGAGTCCCAATGATTTTGATGCTTATATTTGCAACAGTGGCAGTGATCTCTACTATCCATCCCTCAATTCTGAAGATCGCCTATTTGTGGGTGACTTGTATTTCCACTCTCACATTGAATACCGTTGGGGTGGAGAAGGGTTGAGAAAGACTTTAATACGCTGGGCATCTTCGATCACTGATAAAAAGAGTGAGAACAACGAGCAAATTGTGAGTCCCGCTGAACAGCTTTCTACCGACTACTGTTATGCTTTCAATGTGCGAAAGGCAGGAATGGTAATTTTTCTTCCAAGTGTAGTTTTTTGTGAAGTTTATTTTTATCCTAGATTCACTTCAGAGTTCATTGTTTTGTTGTCCAATATTATTATTACAGGCTCCTCCTCTCAAGGAGCTTCGTAAGTTAATGAGGATCCAAGCTCTGCGTTGCCATCCTATATATTGTCAAAATGGGACAAGACTAAATGTAATTCCTGTACTGGCATCTCGTTCCCAAGCCCTCAGGTATCATTGAATTACCATTCCAAAATTTATGTTATGCCAAAAGTTGGAAACTTATATATTGACGTCTCCTGTACTCTTTTCCTTGGGAGGGAAAGGTGAGTATTTAGGTGGGCCAGTTACTACATATTTTTGACATTCTATGATAAAATTACGCAACGTCTGTGCAAATATGCTTAGACAGAAGCAATTTATCAGCCATGTTCTTACACATAACTATTTTTTTCTCTAGCGTGATTCCCTCTATTTGGCTGTTGTGACTGTTACTCAAGTTTACTGTGACATCTGATGACTTTATGTGCTTTTCCTTTAGGTACTTATATGTTCGATGGGGTTTTGAACTGTCAAAGATGGTAGTGTTTGTTGGAGAATGTGGCGACACCGATTACGAAGGACTGGTTGGCGGCCTACACAAAAGTGTGATATTGAAGGGAGTAGGAAGCAGGGCAATTAGTCAACTCCATAATAACAGAAACTATCCTCTCTCAGATGTCATGCCATTGGACAGCCCAAACATCGTTCAGGCAACGGAGGGAAGTAGCAGTGCTGATATTCAGGCTCTGTTGGAAAAAGTCGGATACCACAAGGGATGAAAGTCATCTATGTTCAGTTATGCCTCTGCTTGTCTTCTGTGAAGCACTGAAACCTACATTTATCCACAATGTTCATAAAACTATCTTCACCTCTTGTTACTTCTATAATAATCATTATCTATAACCTTTGCCCCTTTGAATCATATTTCCTCTTGTTGTTTTTGTATCTACATATTATAGGTTTAATAAAAGGCCACATCTCATTTCATTCATGCCTTGTTTCTTTGTCACCGGAAGCCAATCTTCCTCTTGTACTCTACATACTCTTTCTTCCGCTTTCAGTTATGCTATGTGTCGTACTTTAAAATTTGTCCTTTCATTTTCTTTGAAAATTTTCTTTTACATGGGTGGTTGTAAACATCTGCTTGAGGAAAGTAAAATTTGAAGATGAACGAAATATCCTTCGATTGGAGCATTAGAGCTTCCTTCGATTGGAGCATCATAGCTTCTTTCGATTGGAGCATCAGAGCTTCCTTCGATTGGAGCATCAGAGCTTCCTTCAATTGGAACATCAGAATGAAGTATCTTTCGATTGGCATACCAAGGTAGAGTATCCTTCGAATGACATATTAGTGCAGAGATGTCTTAATCTAAAATGTTTTGAAAAGGGAAGTTCTGAATACTTCGAATCAGAACTCAGAACCATTGAAGGGAACAAGGGCTGGTCGAAGGGGTTTTGGAGAGGAAAATTTTGAATATTTTCAAATTCGAACAAGGCGCCAAGTTGACCTGTCCAGATTCACTCAGAATTTCAAAATGGCATGATATATCTTAAAATGACAATCTTTCAATTTGTCTAATTCTGTTTTCAATATCATGTTTAATGGTTGGTCTTTAATGCCATGACCCTTTCTCCATTTCCTTGTCTCCTCCACCTCCTATAAATACGAGACACATATTGTATCACAGGGATAAATATTTTTTTTGCACACGAACATATCACGCTGCCAGATTGCTCAAAGAAATCCCAAAAGTGTCCCAATCGAAGCACTTTTTTTTTGCAGACACCTTCAGTCCAAACGAATATCAGATTCTTGTTCCTGAGACATCCAGGGGTCCACACCAGCTCCTAAGCAAGTGTCTCAACGTCCAGGAGTGTCAAATCGAAGCATCTAACAACTCCAGTTCACACACAAGTTACAGTTTCAAGCAAGGTAAGTCCTCTTGACCTTGCATCTTTCGTTTCAGCATAACATGTAAATGACCCTTTTATTTATTTTCTCCGTTTCTGTACTTTGTGGTTTGTTTGCTTTTCTTGTCCAAATGTATGTTGGAACTAACCTGTACAGACTCAAATGAAATACAAAAAGGGTGTGAACAAAGGACCTACACTCATGCTGCACTACAGGTCTATATTGCTTCATAAGTCAATCGAAAGAAGCAGAAAATGTGGCAATCGAAGGTTGCTCACACCAACTCTCAAACTCAATCGAAAGGAAGCAAAAGAAGGGTGGATCGAAGGAGTCTAGTGCCTGGGTCGAAAGGCAGCTTCCCCTCTGGATCGAAAAACCTCCTTTTCTCCCTGATCGAAAGATGCCCCTTTGTATTCTTATTTGGCTTTTGGTTCTTTTCTTTATTTGATTTTTTTATCATTTAAATTAACTTTAAATCAAAAATCACAAAAAAAATATATTAGGTTAGTGTTTTATTAGTCAAATTAATGTTGTAAATTAATTAATTAATTATTTTAACATCTTTCTTGAAATTAAATAGGCTTAGGATTTTTAAGTTAATTTCTTTTCATAACAAAAACAACAAATTTTTTTTATTTAATAGTTCTTAGGTTTTTTAGACGTAATATTTATTTCGCGCGTGTTATTTTTATTCTTGTATTTTATATAACTAATGTAATTCATTATGGGATGTAATAGTCTAGATTTAAAATTCTGTATTTCGTTTTCTTACACCTATAATGTATCTCTCCCAAAGTCGTGTAATAATTTAGGATTTATTTTTCTGTATTTTATTTTCCGCATATTTATTGCTTTATTATTTTACTATATTACTGCTAGTAAATAGGCTTGCATAGAAAGACAGTAAGTTAAAACGTTAGCTAACCTAACAAAAAGACAAAAATAACTGAATCTCAACACACTTGCACATGCTCACCCCTAGGGTATCTCTCACTTCGGTTGCCTTCAGAAAAACAGTCATGTCCCTCGAAACGGAGACACTTTAGCAAAGACCCGTAAATCAAAAAGATCATAGTTCCTCGATGACCCTACAGTTGTCTTTCGGTAAATGATCTAGTCCCTAAATAAAATTGTTAAAGTGTCCCTACATATTGTCTTTATGACTGTAAACGTTCATTCGATTGTCCCTCAAACATCCAACGATGGGGCTACCTACTCACTAATAGTAGGATAGTCATGTCTAAAGGATAAGGGGGAAAAGAACAAACCTTTTTTGGGTATAAAAGTAGATAACTGTTAGAGGTTTGCTCAAAATAATTTTTTACACCTACACAAAAACATTTCAAAAAGACAATTTTCAAAATATTTGCTTTGTTAACACTCTTTAGGACTATACAAGAGTTAAACACAAAGCAAATCACCGCGCTAAGGCATTTTCAAAACATTTTCAAACACACAAAGTACAAAGGTCTTTTAAAATGAGCAAATCTCTAAGAGCCCGTAGAAAACTACAGATGAAAATGGTGCTAACACCTTCCCTTTCCATAATCTATCCCCCTTACTCGGAAAACTCTCGAGAAAGGTATTTTTCTGTTCTTTTCACCCTTTCCTTTGTTGGATAAAAGAAAAGTCGGTGGCGACTCTTGCTTACTGCATATTTGCGAATACAAAACGTAAACCAGTATTAAACAGTCGGTTCTACAACTGTATCACAGAATTGGCGACTCTGTTGGAGAGAAAATTAAAAAGTGGGGTTTACCTTAGGGTCTAGTTAATTTTAAAATTGCTTTATTTGTTTGCTTTGATTGCTTTATCTTTAAGTTGTTGGGAGTATTCTTGTAAAGATCCTACACCCGGATCTGAGGCACCTTTTAGGTAAGTAGCAATAAATCATGGAGGTTGTACGGCGTAGACCGATACGGACGAAATGGTGGCTACGTTAGCGCAATACTTTAGATTGTACTAATGTTCCTTGAGTAAGTCAAGGGTAACATTAGGCTTCCTCATAGTGTCACTAAGCGCTAACTGACCTTTAGAACCTTTAATCGAATCATCCTAGCCATTAGGAAGTAGTGAGATAACCGACTCTGGTTCCGACCGAAGATTAGTTGATACTCGATGCTACACTCATTGAGATTGGACTTTTGGGATTTTTTTAGCCGCAATACTTCGGTGCGTGAGCTGAAACAATTCCTGATGGGAAGGTCAATGATATTGAGACTTCTTAGAACCCGATTACTATTAATAAGACAGGTTGAGCCAACTACTTCAAGAGGGTACATACCTTTAAACCTCATGCAAGCCTTTGAACCTAAGGCTATTTTAGTGACTTGATTGTCTTCATATATCTAACAACTTGAATTCCTTACAGGATTTATTTATAGTCATTGTCCAATAAACTGGTTTTCTTACAAGACATACTTGTCTTCATCACCCTGCATTTTTGCTTGATGCATAGCATACACATCGTAGCATCATACCATAGTATTTCCTTAACCATTTCAAGGATCTCAAGGGCCTGTGGTGCAGGTTATGATAAGAGGAGAAAGGACATTGAGTTCAAGAAAGATGATCATGTGTTTTTTAGAGTTACTCCAGTAACCAGTGTCGGTAGAGCATTGAAATTGAGGAAACTTATGCCACAATTTATTGGACCATATCAAATATCATAGAAGGTAGCTGAGGTGGCTTACCGAGTTACTTAGCCACCGTCACTTGCGAATTTTCGTGATGTGTTTCATGTGTATCAATTGAGAAAGTATATGCCAGATTCTTCGCATGCGATTCAGATGGATGATGTACAAATGAGAGATAACCTTACTATTGAGACGTTGCCAATGCAAATAGAAGGTCAAGAATTGAAGCGATTACGAGACAAAGAGATTTCCTTAGTGAAGGTGTTGTGGGGTAGACTATATGGTGAGAGTTGGACTTGGGAACGCGAGCATCAGATGGGATAGTCTTATCCAATGTTGTTTCCGTCAGCTAATTTTCGAGGACGAAAATTCTTTTAAGTGGGGGAGAGTTGTAACACCCCGAATTTTAGATTAATTATTTAATTAATTTAATATGATTATATGAGTCTATGTTAAGTAGATGGTGTTTTGATGTTTTGATGCTTATTTATGATGTTTTAGTGCCTTGTGTGAGTCCTTGTGATAATATATGATGTGTATTCATGATGCAATTGTGATACAGATAGTGATGATTTGATGAAGAAGGTGTTTAAGATGATGAGTTATGTGTTGTAGGATGAGTTAGTAAGAAGTTTTGAAATTTAAATAATTATTTTAGAATTATTTAGATTTAATAGTGATTAATTGGAATTATTTAGATTTAAGTAATTAGAATAATAGAATAATAGAAATGTAGAGAAAATAAGGACAAGATGGTAATTAGTAGAAAGAGTGAGAGCATGATGGTAAATGGTATAATGCTAAGTGAGGGCAATTGAGGAAGATATTAGGGGTCCTTGTGATAATTAAGGGAAAAGAGAATTGTACGATCATTTGGTACGATCGAGATATTGGGAGAAGAGCAAAGGAGAAGCTAGGGCACAAGGAGACATGGAGGCAAAGAGGAATTTATAGAACGAGAAGAGGAATCGAAAGCTAACAATAGTAATAAGGTAAGAGGGGTGAATGGATTCTCTAATTGGTGATTTTACATGAGAGGATAGAGAGGGTTCCTTTCCCTCTTAGGTGATTTTATATGATTGATGCATAATTTGTTTGATTTGAGTGAATTGATGTGTTGTATACATGGATCTGTGATGCTATGTTATGATTGTTGTTCTGATTGCGTTGTTATGATAATTGTTGCATAAAACCCCAATCTAGAACCTATAAGTAATGAGAATTAGGATTT